GACAGAAAGAAGCCAAATATTAATCAATACAGAAAAAAGAAAAATCAGAGCATCAACTTGTCAGAGAGGCCAAAAGACTGTTAAATACAATGATACAAAGACTTTTAAAGAGAAAGAAGCCTGAAAAGGGGCCATACATTTTGTTGGTCAGAAGTCATTGAGATCTCTGAATAGCATCAAAGGATGTCGTTAAAAAGGAAACTAACAGTGTCTGAACATAGGCAGTATGAAAGCTTTTCCATCTGTGAAAAGCTTACAAGAGACACACAGAAAGTAGGTTATCATCCAGAATAATGGGGGCTATGATTTAGGGATCTAAAGGAGGACATAAACTCACAGAGAAGGTGTTTCTGACTCAGACTGGAGTGGCCAAAGGTAAGTGCCAGCAATCATGGTTCCTGAGCAGTTGAGTCGAAAAGAAAGAGAACAAAATCACCAGTTGAAGGAGACTGAGGAAAGCACAATGGTGAGAAAAATGCGGTGTACTGGAAAACTGCAAGTGTAGTGTGTGTACTTAGTGGGAGTAGAGTATGTGAAGAGAAACTAGTAAGAAACAGGGATAAGGGAGCAAGACAGAAATGAGAAAAAGTAGTTTGTAAGGGTTTTGTGCACTGAGTAGATCTGTATTTTTCTCAGGAAGCAACAGACAGATATTTTGAACAATATAATGTGTTTTTTTTTTTTTTTTTTTTAAACACACACATTTTGGAGCCAGACTGATTAAACCCTGTCTTCACCAATTACCAACGGAGTTTGGACAAATTATTCAACCTCTTTTGTCTCAGTTTAGTCAACTATATAACCTCACAAGGTTGTTGTGAGGATAAAAAAGGCTGGTTAAATATAAAGTACTTAAAACAGTGCCTGACACATAGTAATTACTCTATACATTTTAGCTATTGAGCACAGGCATTACAAAGTTCAATCTATTTCAGGCAGAGCACTCTGGGAGCTGTGTGTAAGTTACAAAGCTATCTCTGTAATCCAAATGAGAAATGACAACAGCCTGCTGTTTCAAAATGGAAGGAGAAAATAGATTCAAGAAATCTTCAACATTTTGTATTGATCAGACACAAGGGTAAGGAAAGCTAAAAGAAGTCTAAGGACAAATTTCATCTTGCTGGCTTGGGTAATGGTAGTGATAATGGTGCCATCACTCAAGACAGAGAAGACAGGCAGGAGGAACAAAATTGTTTGATCAGATTTAAATATACTAAATTTTAGATACTTATGTTTATCCAAATGGAGTTGATGGAAAGCACTAAAGATCTGGTGATTAGGAGAAAAGTCACAGTCCAAAGTATATTTTGGGTGAGAGTTACCAGTGTTTAAATGATAACAGAAGCATCATCAGATATGTATCCAACCAATGAGACATTAGAGACCACTAGTTGTCTACCTAGTGTCTATTCTCCCATTCTTTATTGTAAAATAAATAAATACATACATACATAAATTAAATATATAAACAAACAAAACTCCCATTCAAATTTTTCGCTACACATATGACTTACTAGATTAAAGACTTATTTTTCTAGCCATCCTAGCCAAGTGTTACCATGTTACTAAGTTCTAACCAATGGGATGTGAGCAGAGTGATGTGTGCAACTTCTGATTGGGTCCTCAAACAATCAGGAGGACAAAATTTTGGTCTCCTTCCAAACTATTCCAAACTATTATTAGGAATTACTACTATTCCTGCTAGCTGCAATACTAAATACATAATAAATAATCTTAAACCATGTGGATGAGAGTCACATCTAAGAATAGCAAAGAAATAAGACAAAAAAAGAGTAGGTCTGAGATTAACCCACAGAGCAGAGAAACCACACAAACTCAGATTTTTACAGAAGAAAAAAGTAATCAATACCAATTTAATACATGAAGTAGGACACTACACACAAAGCTGTGGTATGTGGCAATGGCTTAGTACAATGACAAGTAGGCTTAAAAGGTAGTTAATGACCCTCATAAATATTGTGATATGAGGTAAAATAGTATCTTGTAGCATTGCAAAAGACAGACAGATATATGTTAACTAACAGAACCTGTAATTCTGGGGGAAAAGGCTAGAAAAACTTAAGACTGCTGCTCCAACACAGAAAAACAGCAAAAGCTAATCTGACCTCCATCTAAATCTCTAACTAAGTAGGCTATAATCAATTTCTCTTTGAACACTGCTTCAAATTTGTCTACTCTTGCTTCCAGTCTGGTTAATACTTATGTATATTTGACTATAACTGGTTTTATACTTGTATATATACATGTATTATCATACATATATACATATTATCATAATAAAGACTCATTTGCCAGGCATGATTAGATAATGTGGCATGTCAGTTAAGTATATTTTTTCAGGTAATAAACTTCTCTAGGCAGTTCCTACTGTTTCTAATAAAATTCTTCCTAAACTGTACATTATACATTACCATCTTATAAAGAGACTGTAATAAATCTAATTTAACCTTTTATTGAGTACTTTACCTCATCATGATATCAATTATTATATTTTAATAAAGTCTTTCCTAGTTTGTTTATTCTAATTGATCCTTTGTGACAAACTGACACTTGTAGCTACATCCTTTAGTGTTCCCTCAGCACTGCTACCATAGCTATCTAATGAAACAGGAAGACATGAAGGCTGCCACAGAATACCAGATGGTTTTCTAATGTTATTTCCCCAGGTCAGCAGGTTCTGTAACTGAAATGTTA